CTAAATAACAGTTAATTAAGGAGTCAACCTACTGCTCTGGAAACCCAGGATCAAATCCAGGCAAGCAAGTTTCCAGAAAATTTTCAAGAATTATCTTCTCCAGATACATCAGACCCTGTTCATTAGTCATTCCCACATATAGTCTGTCTATCCTTCCTTAATCTCAAGAACGGAGTTAGATACATGAAAGTCAAGACCAGATGTAGAAAGCTTAGGGGCAGGAGGCCCCAATTAATTATATATGAACTTTCGATACAAACCAGAAGTTAAGTTATTTAAATTCAAAAATTTTTCCCCAAAAAGAGTTAGCAGTGAAGTCATGCCAGTCATCTATCTAACTGAAAAGTATGATGTATGGAGGCAAGACACTACTAATTTGAGGCAGAAAGCATATATTTTAAATTGTGATGTCATCACAATAAGTAATTGCTCATTCCTATGCACAGCTTTGATTTGTTCAATATTATAGTGCTGTTTTCTCCTACATACATATCCCTAGCTATTAGACTCCATATTTTTCTATGGGATTCAAATCACAAGAATAGGAAGACCAATCCATAACGTGAATTTTATTATCCAGTAACCACTGATAAGTGCAGTTTGCATTGTGGATTGTCTTATTGCATTATCTTATTGCAACTGCCAGAATGGACAACCAATTTTGCCTCCAAATGAAAGAAGATATACATCCAGGAGGTTTTGTTAACCAACTGCCTTCATTTAACCATTTATGAATGCTATATCATTTTTACAGATCATACAAAACCTGCCCAGATCATGACTTAGGATCTGGGCAGGTTTTGTATGATCTGTAAAAATCCTTGCCAATGCTTGGCAAACAAAAACTTTTCTCTCCTAAGATCATACCAGTAAAATTGCTAACTGTTGGGATCATCCAAATTGAACTTTTTTTAAATCAGCCCAAAAAACTTCACACCATTTTGAAGTCTGACATTTTACCTTTGGTCAGTCTTTTTTTGTTGTTGTTTTAGATATGGTACTACTTTTTTGTTTTTATACACTAGATGTTTTGTTGATTTTATCATCTCAGAAAGTGTGGATTTGGGAACATTAGCATCATGCTTTTGTGCTATTTCACCTAATGATATTCTTGTCAATACTTCCTAGATAATTGCTGATTTTTGCTTTATTGTCAACTTGGAAGGCCATCCTATTTGTTTTTTTTCTTTCTATATTGCATACTAAGTGTAATATAATTGGCTACATCACAATGCAATCTCTAGCTGCTTTGTAACAGCTCTTAGCAGAACTTCCAGTTTGATGTGTGGCCAAATCAAGACTACTCAAAGGCAGTTTACAACTTAAGTAATTTTAACAATGAGTAGAAGTATCACAACAGTTAATGGTAATATAAATCCAATTATGCCTCAATTTGTAATTACAGAGTGCTGCCATCTCTTTATACTTATTAAATTATGAATGATAGTGAATTTTTTAATAAATCACTAAAAAAATGCAGAGGGCCTTATATTTTTGCAACACCATTCTTTCTGATTTCTTTAATTAAAAATTTATATTTTCTCATTTATTTTTGTTTGTGAATAGAATAATAATAGTAATTTTACATTTACATTTATTTCTGTCACTAGTTTTTTTGTTTCAGTGTGATAAAATTATTATTATTCCTAAAGGTTAAAGTGGCCATATATTTTTGCAACACACCTTAGTGACTATGATGCATTGAAAAAAGGAAACTTTCAAGAGCTGTATATTCAAAATATGATATTCACTCATGGATTGCTTTATAGCATTCAATAACCTTATCATGTTAAACTACATAACAAATCAGATCTTTCTTCTATTAGTGATCATAAGAAAATACAAAAGTTAACTGAAAAGGTCTCAATGACAATTTTTTTTAATAATTCTGAAACAATGAAAGCTAAAAAAAAATATTAAATATTTCCAGCAGCAGCCAAAATATTACAGTAAAAAAGTTTTATCTTTATATAAAATAAACAATCTAAAATAATCACATTTATTCTTTAAGTCTAACAAGTTACTTTTTGCAGTAAATAGCTTTATTTTTTTAATTATATAAAAATAAATTTAATAAATATTTGTTAAATGTTATTTCAATATTAAACTATCTGAATTTTTAAAATTCAGAAACTGTTTTTGATTCCACTACAAAATTTTTCTAAAATCATACCACAAAAATTTAACATTGTGACTTTAACAAGTCTGACTGTAGTTATACAATCAGGCCTGTAGAAATAATAAATTGTAGAATATAGTATATTTATAAACAAGAGTTGAAATTAGTTATTTGCAGCTAAACTGCAATTATTAAATGTGATACGAAAAATAATAGAAAATGGCTTTATTTAATAATAATTTAATTTGCAGTTTCTTAAATTAATAAAAATCATTTTACAAAATTTATTCTTCAAAAAGATTGGTTGAGAATACTTTAAAATTTTAAAAAATGGGTCTACCCTATTATCAAAAGTATCAGGAATGGTCAATAAAACAAAAGATTTGAATTTATCCATCAAAATTTATTTTGTCCTCTTCAAAGCAATCCCTCTTGCTGAAATGCACTTATGCCAATATTTTTCCAATCTGCAAAACATGCTTTATAGTTATTTTCATTAAACCCCTTCAGGACTCAGCAAATTGATCATCAAGTGAAAATTTTAGACAAGGAAAAAGTTACAGTGCCATATCAGATGAATACAGTTTGCAGAACTGTAGTCAAACAAGAGCATTGTGAGCATGTGCATTATTGTGGTGCAAAATCCATAAGTTTACTCAAATCAAGTAATTTTCTACAAACTGCTTCACACAACCAAAGCAAAATGATCAAATAATATTCTTTGTTGACAGTCTGGCCAGTCAGAAGGAATTCAAGATGCACATCATCAAGACAATAAAAAAAACAGTCAACTTTACCAATACTATTAATAATTAAATTCTAAGGAATTTGATACTAGAGATAGGAATTAGGCACCATCTCTTATTAAATTTAATAATTATAATTAAATTAATATTTATTAAATAATTTAGAATATTCTAAATTATTTAAGAAAACAGTCATCATCATCATGATTTTGACATGATTTTTTCAGTCTTGTTTCACCTTTTGCACACTGAACATTTATTGAGCTGTTTTAGTGTCAAAGTGTAAATCCATGTTTCATCACCAATAATACATTTTAAGAATGATTTGCCATGAGAAAGCATTTTCTTAGCTACTTTAATGCATTGTTTTTGGAAAAATTCCAATGTTTTCTGGGAGATTCAAGAGCAATATGCCACAAGCCTAAATAATCTTTTAAAATTGCTTGACAAGATTCAAATGATACTGGAACACATTCAATAATAGTTCATCTTCGATGCATTCTCTGCCTTTCTTGAATATCTTGTACCACTCAAAAACAAAAATTTTTGATAGTCTATCATCACCAAAATATTTTTTGCAGCATTTTCAATGTTTTGATAACAACTCTGTTGCAAAAACAAAATTTAACGCATGTTCTTTGCTCAATTACACTAGACAGTTTGAAAAATTGTTGGCACAAAAATTCTTTATATACAAAACAAGTTTTCAGAAACAGATGATGACATATGGATCACTGCTAGATGATGATGAAAGTTATACCAAATGACGACAGTACCCTTCTTTCAAGCACACAGTTTAAATAAACCATTCCCAATACTTTATCACAATAGTATTATCATCTAATTAAATGTATATTTAATGATTAAGCTGTATTTATATAAGATAATTTTTTGAAAATTACTAATTTGTTTTATTGCCAAGATTTTCAGATCAATGTGTACTAAAAAAAATTTTAATTTCATACAATATCTTGCCAGTAATACAATCATTAGAAAACTTTTAACATTTCCATCAAATCAGATTAAGTTTAGTACTAAATATTAATTCATCAGCATTATGTTTGAAAAAAATTTAGACTTACTTCAATAACTTGTAATTACTAGGCAATTAAATAAATCCAGTAACTACTTCATACTATGAATTTTTTTAAAAACTCTTCAAATTTTAGTTGAGTTAAGGTAAAAATAAGTTAATTTAAATTTAAAATAATAAGAATATAATAATCAGTAAAAATATCAAATATTTTCATTTAGATTTCATTATTATTAATGTTCAATTTTCACTAATTATACTCAGTTTAGACATTAAATTTATGTTAAAAATCAATTAACAATTATATAATTTAAGAACTAATATATGAAATAAGAATGTAATATACTGCTACACCACTTTTATTGTAAAATTTTTTTTATAATAATATAACTTAAAATAATTATATAGTTCTGAAATATCATTATGAATTATTTTGAAAAAACATACTTCATATAAGATGATTTTTTTCTAGGTCATTTCTTAATAAAACAATTGCAGTTTTTATAAAGTTAAAAATTCAATATTTGTAGATTATATTTATGCTAAAAAACAGTATAATGGAGGCAATTTTGTTCAAATACTTTGCATTACCTTTCTTTTCAGTTATTTAAATATTATACCACTACAAACATAAGTAAAATTTTTACTTCAATTTTTAAAATTTATTACAATACCTTTTATACAAATTTTTCAATTATGTAATATTTCTGAGCAAAGTTTAAATTCTAATTAAATTTATAAAAAAATGTTTACATTAATTTATATATATTTATTCTATATAAGTGATATTTAACTAAAATTTAATTTTAGTTAAATATAATATTAGAAATAAATTTTACATTTCACATGTAACTTATAAAACCTCAAAAATTTCTGAAAAATATTTTAATATACTATCTCAATCATTTTACTGCTTTATATTTAAAAATCAATAAATCAAAAATTATATAAAACTGAATGAAAATTTGATGAATTTCACCACTTTCTCTGCCTTTATTCTAAGACAATACAAAATAGTAATTCATAAAGGTATAAAAGGTAATTAATAAATCTATTATCAATTTTAAATTAAATTTTCAATTAAGAACAAATTAAGACATACCCATATCCTCCTCTACCATGATCACCATAATTACCAGATCCACCTAATAAATATATAAAAAATATCATTTTAGCAGCTTTATTCAAAGACTAACAAAATAATTGCAAAACTTAAAAGTTCCAATCGCTTTAATCAAAAGTGAAAATAATTTGAAGTGATCAGCAAAATCATTCATATATTTATACGTAGAATGCTTATAAATTAAACCACATCAATAGTCACTGTCTATCAACTATTACCAATTACCTTGGCCTGAGAAATTTCCTCGTCCTGAACCACCATATTCTCCTGGAGGTCCTCCATAGCCACCACCACCCATTCCCTGTGTTGTTGATGGGCCTTGATATGATGGAGCTGGTGCAGGTGCACCACCTTGGTCAGGACCAGATGGATACGATGGAGGTCTTGTATAATCTTGTCCTGGTGGAGCATGACTGCCATAATTCTGAGGAGGTGGTTGCATACTATGAGGAGGGGGAGCTTGAGCTGGTGGTGGAGCAGGGCCAGGTGGTGGGGCATTGGCTGGGGGAGGAGCTGAACCATAACTCCCTGAAGGTGGAGGTTGTGATTGTGGAGGTGGTTGACTTCCATAAGATGATCCATAATTATTCGTAGATGTATTTCCATAAGAACTGTAAGAATTTCCACCATAAGACTGTTGATTTTGAGGTGCTGTTGATGATCCATAACTACCAGGTTGAGAATAACTTCCTTGGGAAGGAGGCTGACTGTAACTGCTTGTGTTGGGTGTGTATGCATTGCCTTGACCACCATAACTGGAATAGGAACCAGACTGACCTACAGAAAAGTAGGCAGTGAATTTTTATTCTGATTTATTCTCAAATTCCAAGATAAAAATTATTTCAAATGCTTATAGAATGAATAACAAAGACTAACTTCATCTTCTCTAAATTTGTAAAAATATACAAGACAACCCACCAGGCATTCAATTTGAAAGTTTATAAAATGGACTTTTACATATATCTTCCTATTTTGTTTACTTCAATATCTCTATTCATATTATAATTCACTCTTCAAATTTAAATCGCCGAAACCATTTCATAAACTTCTTTCTTCAAAAACATTTATTTTCACACGTCATTAATTATAATCCATTAGTCATCTTCCTATCACAACTTTTGCAATCAGTATAACTTCACATCATACCATTTAGTAATAAATCCTTTGTTCAATAATAAGAATACCAAAATAGCAAATAAAACGTTTACTCAAGCTTGTTTAAAATAGCTTCCCTTATTCATAAAATTTAAGTGCCACAAAGAAATAATCTTAATTTAGGCTTTTCTCTCATTCAATTGTCAGCCATACATTAAATTGTGCCCATGTCTATATTATTAAAACTGGCATATATTTTGAATTTTGGATGATTACCAGATTGAAATAGCCCATATTAACAAGTTAATTGCATAAATGTATAGTTTCAATTTGATAGTGAGAAAAGATCAATAATTGTACATACTTATTACAATTCATTAAGTATTAAATCCTCACATCATGCAAATCACTTCAGAAGTTTATTGATACTTATTTTCACCGTAAAAATATTTTGGCAATTGCTATTTTGTTGTTCTCACCATACCATTTCCATTTTTTTTATTTTTTATTTTTACTATATTACAAAAATATCAGTAATTTTACAAACCTTGATTATAAGTAGGACTCTGTTGCTGTGGTGGTGGTGGTGGTTGTTGTTGCTGCTGTTGTTGTCCATAATTATAAGATGGAGTAGATTGATTATATTGATCTTGTCCATAGCCACTATAATTGCTTCCTGTTGAAGCATTGCCACTCCAACCAGTCTAAAATTTTATTAAAAATATGAATAAACAGAAAAACTGATTATATTTATGCATTATGCTACTTACTGCTGAATATCCTACATTTGTTTGAGGATAACCACTTTGGGGATAACTGGAATCAGAGCTATAATTTCCATAATTACTATACCTAAAATTGGCAATTATTTGTTTAAATTTATCTAAAATTTGTTAAATCGTATTAACAAAATATCAAATTATTTAAAATTTTTAGGTTTTCACACTTACCCAGATTGGGTTCCACTGTAACTGCTATATTCTATAAAAAAATAAAAAATTTGAATTTATGTACTTGCAATTTAACACATATGTCATGTAAATAATTATAATCTACTTTAAATAATATATAAAAACTTTTATATTAAATTCTATTCCAAATCTTTCATAAAATATTTAATCAAAATTCTGATATTCTACACTTTTCAGAACTGCATTTGTCATAAACCACAGTACTACCACCCAAATCTTTAGAGTTCTTACATTCTACATTTCTACAGCATTACTTTCATTCAAAAATAGTTAATTTGGATTTCAACTATTCATTTTTACTGTTTTCCTTCAATGTTTTAAAATTAAGGCATAAGTATGCAGTCTGAATTATTCTGTATAAAGATCATATTTGCTACTAATTTTCAGATCTGCAGTTACTCCAATTTAAATGGAACTAATCTTTGTGCTATGCATTAATTTTGAGTATTTATGAGAAACACTTGAACAATCAATATGTTTTGACCAGATGGCTGTCACATTATACAATTAGAACTTATGGAGAAAATGAACTTCAAATGAATTTTTTTATTACTATTTTAATTGTTAAATTGAATTAGTAAGAATAATACAACAAAATGTGCTTAATCATTTTGAAAAGATGGGTTTATAGATTATTTTAAAATCTTCCAGACCAATTAAAATCACCAGGTCACCCCCTAGCACTGGTTTAAATAAAAAATAATAATGTGTTTTTTAGAAAAGGCATTTTTAAATATTTTTATTAGTGTAATATATAAAATTATGAAATTTTAAGTGCAACGTTGTTGGGGCCCAATATAAATATACTTGACCAGTACCAATACAAAGAACACAGCTTAAGCAGCACTACTCTAGTTTCCTTTAAACAAAAGCTGCACTGTCTGTTGGAGATCTCAACCTGTAATTTCAAAAAAAAAACAATTTTAACAATTTGTTTTCTTGTATCCGTTTTGTACTTGTGATCATTTTGCACTCATTGTGCTAAAACATTAGGCCTATGGCATAGAACAAAGATTTCCAAATATAGGGTTGTGACAGGTATTACTAATTCTTATATAGTTGCAGACACTCTTTTTCAAAAACATTATTCCTTTGCATGACAAAATCTTTAAAAAAATATAAACAACACTTAACCAAAGATTGACAATCAATGAAAAAGGGATTAGTGAATTTGTATGTAATTTATTAACAATGTCACTACACTCCAATACATGAAAAAACGAATTATCTTAAAAAAATTTTTTGTTGCAGAATTTTTAGAATATGGATTTCCATGTAAGAAAGTTAATGACAAAAATCTATCATTATTTGTATAATTTACAGCAAGACTTTTGCATGTTTCAAGCTCTTACATTTTCAGTAGCAAATCCAATGCATGTCAAAAAAGCTATTACATTTTTTAAAAGAAAAGTCAAGTTATTTCAGAAAGTTTAAAGTATAAAGCAAAATATTTTTAAAGACTGATAATTGGAAGCATTGACCAAAAGAAAAGAAAAACAGACAAATTCCAAACACATCAGATTTGCAAAGGACACCCTCCAAAATCTAACAGCTGATTGCAGAGACAGAATTTACGTTAAACAATGTTTATCAACAGAATGGCCTATAGACGGTGGCTGGCTGAACCACGGTTTAAAATGCATTGCAAAAACAACGATCATCTATTTCTGACCGTTCTCTAAACAAACTTTGGCAAAACATTGGCTCTTACTTCACTATTACTACCATTTTAGGAGTCATTTGGCCAATTGGGTTATTTGTTTGTGACATCAGAAATGATCGCCAGCTATATTCCGAAAGCTTCCAGAAATAAAATCTTAAGACTGTCAAAACCATTGTTCGGCAATTAATTAATGACAATCCTTTTCCATTTCGATATTTAATTTCATCGCCAATATGGTTTAAAATACGAACAAATCCATATTTAGAAAATTTATACCAAATTCGAAATTAGTCTTTGGAATAGATTTTAAAGGAATTATTTTGACATCTTATTACTGTCGAAATGAATAATTTTAAATATTTTATTATTAATATTACATTTTTTTATATTTATAAACAGATTCTATAATTATTAAAATTGTCTCGTTTGTTTAACAAACAGTACAATGACTCTGAAATGCATTAACATTTTATAACCGACACAATACTCAAATTGTAAATAAATGCATCTGATTTAAATTAATTGAAGTTTTAAGTCTTCACTCATTTGAATATCGAAATTGGAACATTTAAAACAAATTTAAAGTATTTAATTTTGTTGTTTTTGCTCCAAGCAATTAATTAATAAATAATTTTGTTGATTCGTACCGTTTACAACATTTATTAAAGGAACAATATCTGTTTTTACGAGGGCAAGGTGAAAAGTTCTCGGCCTAGTAGTGAAAAAAAATGAATTTCTTTTAAAAATGCATTTATTTCTCAATGTAGTCTCCCTTTAGTTCAATACACTTTGTCCAACGTTTCTCCAATAACAGTATTCCATCCCTGAAGTGAAACATTCTGAAAGGTCTTCAAAATATCCATTTACTGCTGCTATCACCTCTTCACTTGACCCAAAAAGTTTTCCTGCCAAAAATTTCTTAAGATTTGGGAATAAATGAAAGTCAGAGGGAGCCAAATCTGGCAAATAGGGAGGATGTTCCAACAATTCATACTTAATCCCCCAATTTTCCCATTGCCAAAGTGCCTTTGTGAACGGATGCACTGTCCTGGTGAAAGAGGATTTTTTTCTTTTGCAAACCAGGCCTTTTTTCTCTAATTTTTTCATCTAGCTGGTCAAGATGTGCATAGTATTACCTATTAATTGTTTGACCCTTTGACAGGTAGTCAATTAAAAGAATCCCTTTGGAATCCCAAAAAACACTAGCCATAACCTTTCCAGCTGATGCAATTGTCTTTGCTTTCTTCGGTGCAAAGCCACCAGCTTCTACCCACTGCTTGGACTGTTGTTTTGACTCAGGGGTAAAATGGTGAACCCATGTTTCATCCATCGTAACAAACCTGCACAGAAAATCAGTTGGCTCCTTCTTAAAACAGCGCAAACATTGCTGAGAAAGTTGATTCCTCATTTGTTTGTGATCAGCATTTGTTAAATGCTGATCACAAACAAATGAGGAATCAACTTCCCATCTTGCACAAAGCTCTCTCATGCCGAGTTCTTCATGTAAAACGTACCTTACCCTTTCTTCTGAGATGCCTATAGCCTTAGCTATCTCATACACCTTTAATCGTCAATCATCTAGAACCATATTGTGTATCTTCTTGATATTTTCTTCAATAGTTGCAGTTTTTGGCCATCCTTCATGTGGATCATCTTCAATCGATGTATGACCACGTTTAAACTCTGCTGCCCATTTTTTTACTGTTGATAACGAAGGTGCAGAATCCTTATACACTTTTACCAACTTTGGATAAATTTCTGTTGGCAATAAACCATCCAAAACGAAGAATTTTATGACGGAATGATATTCAAGTTTATTCATTTTGTTAAAAACACACACAATGCTTACTTTAAACAGCCGTATAAAACAAACTATTTGTATAATCAAATTCACACTTGGTATTTACTTTTGTAACAAGTCTGGAAACACAGCCATACGATACTTTCATTTGTAGTAGCGCCATCTATGGATTAGGCCGAGAACTTTTCACCTTGCCCACATATCTAAACTTTTCCATGAACAAAGCTACCACTCAAATTGAAAAGCCCTCTAAACCTGCTGTCCAGTGAGCCTAGAAAATAGGTCAAATAACTTGTTTCTAATCGCTGTCTATATTGTGGCAGGAGAGAAATGCCATATCTGCAATGAAATTATCCTGAACAGCGGTCTACCTGATCTGTAAACCACCGTTGGCCTCTAAACATTGTCTCTGCAATCGGCCCTAAGTGTCTGTGCAAAAGATATTGAGAGCTCTGCTTTTATAAAATAAAAATTTTCCATACAAATTAAATGAAAATTTAACAAATTAATTAATTAATCTAAACTAACTAGATCTAAAGTGTGGTAGAATATCTACACCAGAGTACAATGTTACAGATCATATTTCATAGCAACTTTGAATGGAAGAGCATTCCGTTAGGGAAGCTGTTACCTGAAGAACCGTAACGGTTCAAAAACGTTTGTAACTTTATCGTATAATGTGATGAGATGCGCACTGGTAAAAGGCTTATAGATACGTAGATCTAAAGCAGTATTCACTATTAGTACAGTAAAATTCACTCTAGTTTTATAGCTCATTGAAACTATATGAATTGATTAAAATTAACTATTTTGTAACATACTGATTTTTTTCAACTAAGGATTGGTTCCTAAATTTTAGATGTTTAATTTTTTTTTTATAGAAACAATGTAAAAATCATCGTAGTAATAAGGAAATGCCCTATTACTACATTGTTTGCAAGGTAGAGAATAATTTTAACTAATTTTCAGAATTAGTTAAAATTAATTCTGAAAATAATAAAAATTTTTCAGGGACTTTAATTATTAAAATTTGATTATAATCATATATATATATATATATATATATATTTGCCATCATTTTTAACAATCTTAAATAACTTTTTGTTTTTATTAATTTACAATCAGACTATATTTCCTAAAGATTATATATATAGTGCTTTTCTAAAAAAAATTGTCAATATGTATGGTGACTGAACACACCACTGCTTTTACTGAGAAACCATTGGTACCATGTATAATATCATCTTATCAATACTTTTTATGCTCTGCTAGGATGCTGCAAACTGGCACATTCTAACTGAATAGCACTGTGTTTAGAAAACTTGCATGAACGTTCATCTCACATGACCAAATCATCACCCTCTGATTCTTGCATCATATTGTTCATGGAGGTGTATATAGTTTGAATTGCATCTGAACATTTATCATATGTAGAAGATGGCAAAACACATTCTTACAAAGTTATTTAACAACTAATTAGTCAAAACCCCAACTGGTACAAAAGTAAAATTGTAATGTATGGTGTTGACCCATTCAAAGATGACTAGAATTCCTTCATAGAGGATCACACTTCATGGCCAAATATAGAATAAAGCAAGACCTTGTCTTAACCCAATTTTTAACTCTTAACCACATGAAAGAGGCCGCATTTCTTTATGCAGCACTTGAGAAGCACTTTACAGCAAACACTCTGAAACCCGTTTCTAAATGCAGCATTGCAATGTAACAAACCATTTCTAAATGTTTGCCGCACGAGGTTGCTGCAGCAAAGATAATGCAGCTTTTACGTGTAAAGCAAAATGGACACTTTTGTGTATATTACAATATTATGCTGTAAAAATAAAAAAGTCAAAGTGACTGTTGATAAAAATATTATGGAAAAATTAAGAAAGATTAAATTTTATAAATGATCTGAAAGTTATCTAAAGAATAAGAAAATACTATATTTTAAATATAATTATATATATTCTATCTCTCTACTTTGTTCACATTTTTGGAAAAATAAATGATCAATTCTTTATATCTCTTTAACCAAAGCATTACTCTTGGCTGTAAATGGAATTAAAGGAAAGATTATGACATCCGTGTTTTGTTCAAGCAAAAACCCTTCTAAACTATGAAGCAGACGTGTAGCGATAGCTGCTCATGATGTAGTTTTTGCTACACCCTCGCTGCATAAAGAAAGACAGCCAGAATACAATCACTTGAAGCTCACAATTTTGTAACAAGTTGTCAGATTGATCCGAAGATTTTGGTAGAGTTCTATAAAACATACCTTTCCCAGCAAGAGAACTTCAGTACATTAAAACAAACTATAGCACTAGGTCATCATATTGGAATACCAACTAAAAACTTTGTTTTACGATAGAAGTGGTGCCATGCAACAATCAATAAAACTAGGTTCTGTGTGGTAATTTATCTCATTAAAGGTAAACCGTTCAAAGTTGATACCTTCACATATCAGTTGTTAAAACAAAGCAAACATTACAAATATAGCATAGGCAAAACACAGATGCATAATCGTGTACTGTACATTCAGAACTCCAATTTGTCACATGCAAGTTGTCTATGTTTTTGAAGTTTTTGAAGTTTGTTCCGATTTTGTCTTTACAACATAAAACCAGAACAAACTTCAAAAACATTAAAACAATGCTTTTCAAGTTTAATACCATACATATATGTTTAAAATAATTTGTAATTAATAAAAACAAGCCAGTGTGTTTAGAATGTAAACAAAATCCTACATACATTATATGTAGGATTTTGAAATAAACAACACTTTAAAACTAGCTTTCCTTCATAATTTAATTAATATTTACAATATATTTTAGCATTAAAATCATATTAAACTACGTATTAACCTCATTCCAGATAAGGTGTTCACTTAGAAGATTAATTAATTAAAAGAAAATAGAATGAAATTTACAGCGATTAATAAGTCAGAAATTTAAGATTTATTTGGCTGATTTAGATATCTAAAAAATAATAATCGTGAATTTGTGATAAACTGGTTATTCTTACATATAACGTTACTAAATTTGATTATCGTTGGGAAATTTTATTCAAGAAATTCAAAATGGCGATTTTTGTAACAGAATAAAATGGCCGACAGACGAACAAAGAATTAGAAAATATCAATCCAACGTAATCCGCCCCATCTCAAAATGAATCGAACTTATTGCAGTAAAAAGTACATTTATAATAAAGGACGATTTATTATTACGTGTACATAATACTATGGCTTTACTTATTAAACACGAATACATTGAAGAAGCACAGTCAATTACAACAAAATGGAAACCTTGGAAAGAAGGCGAACGACTTAGTAATACCTTAAAACTATAGTTTTTACTTACGCGTATCAGACATGTTTAAATCACAATATGCAATTCCAAGTTAGACGTCAAATTTTTTGTCGTAAAATATGGTCCAAAACGTCTTCCTTATACTACTACCAAAATCCAACTGAAATAAAAAGACATGCGCAAATCGCGTACTGCCGTCAGATCGTGTACGTTGGTTCTCGTCACGTGATTCACTTGGTACGTCTTTGTTCTGTAATCACGTTGCCAGATCCAAAGATCTATTCTATTCTATTCGTCTCCCCCTGGTTCATAGATCCAAAGATCTCACAAAATAATGAATTATAAGTAGTCTTACCATATTTTCTAGAAATAAATTATTCAAGTCAATGAGTATTTATTTTATTTCAAAACCGGAACAAAAACTGACTAGGTAAAAATTTAATTTATTATCTTTAAAAAGAGATATTCTATCTTCAATTCATGTATAAATGTAGAATTTGTTTTAGGTATTTTGAATGAATTCAATAATTAAAATGGTTTCCGTCTCTACAAAAAAAAACAAACAAGGCCGAGGATGGCCGAGAGGTCAAGGTGGCAGCCTACTGCTCTGGGTATCCGGGATCGGATCCGAATAGGTCGAAAAAATCCCCAGGAATTTTTCGGGGAGTAATCCTCATATAACAATTCTATATCTTAATCATAGGACCGGTCTGGCACCCAGCGGCTACCGGGTGACTTGGACTTTTTTAAAGTCGAACCTGAGATAAATGCTCAGGCTTTCACTCATGTTCCAGTGCAATCCAAAAGGGACCACCAACCTTCCTTGCCTTCCTCTCTCTCAAGTCCAATCCTCCTACATAGACATACGTTTTGGTGCAGCCTATACTGCACATAGAGTTCTCTACCAATGAGAGACTAGCTCACAATAACGGTCAGTGGGATCACCTCCCCTAGAAAAGGAGGCCCTGTCCAGTGCGTCCACTGAGCTTATAGGTCGAAGAGACCTATTACTTTTCCCATCAATTCCTTTAGTTTCCTTAATTTAAGTTTCCTTTACTGGCTGCTAGCGTTCGAAGTACTTGTTCAGGAAGCTTACAAGTTAGACCAGTCGACTTGGTCAGCCCCTCGGCGGAAGTCCTCAGTAAGAGGACAATCAAGTACATGTACATAGTGCCTCGCGGGGAACAATGTACAGTACATGCGCTATGTCACAGGGCAGCTACTATCCCTTGTCCGAACTTGAAGTGGGGAAACCTCTCGTGTCCGTGTTAGGTATTTGCGTCGTAAGCCAATCACAACACGCTAGAGTACGGCCAACTTCAGGCACGAAGGCGTAGATTGACTTACTTACTGTACTTTTGAGTCCAGCACTCTTGCCAGTATGTCATCTATCGTTGCAGTACCCTCAACTACCTTTTATGTAGGTAGTTGAGGGTTCGACCATCCTCGAGGAGTGATCCGACCGGATAAGTCATGTCGGTCCTCGTCCCTCACCATCCGGCCGCCGCATTATAGGCTAGCCGAACCCATAATTGGCTTGCTAAAAGAGGCCCTCTTAGTGCCCAAGAGTGGGAAGAACAAAAAACAAACAAATCAAAATAATAATAATAATAATTAGTGTTTATTAACACATTGAGTGCCATGCAATTTTTCAATGACACTTCCCATAGCCCAACGTTTTATTTTTGCGTAAATACAGTAGTTTCTTCTTGTCAATACACGTTGTTAATGTTGACAATGAAGAGATCTAATCGATGTACTCTTACAAGATAAACTGGAGTTTGGGACAAACTTTAAAACCGGAACGTATGGTAAGTATAAGTAAGTCATTTGAGAAAAGTTTAGAATTCGTTCATACAGAGGAATTTAATGCAGAAATTATATTATTATTATTATTATTTTTATAATAAAGCCTGATGCTTTATCTATTTCAAAACAACTTTAATTATTATTTTTGTAACTATCTTTTTAAACCAGTGGTAATCAACCTGGTTTCTACCGCCCACTAGTGGGCGTTCCAGCTTTCATGGTGGGCGGTAAGGATTTTCTTACATACTGAAGCACTTTCCTTTTTTTTTAAATTTAATTGACTTTTTAAAAACATTGAAATGGAAATTTTTTTAAATATTGTTTAAAAAATGTCCATAGCATTATTTAAAAACATTTTCATTAGGTTTTTCATAAGATTCTTTAGTGTTTATATTTAAATTTCTGAAAATATACTATTTGTATCGTCCGCGCATAAGTTTAGTTCACGTTACGTAAGTGAAACTAAATACCTTCACCTAGCATTAGACTGGCTATAGTCAGTAATTTATCTCTGGTCAGTGTGTAGTTAGATTTGTGAGAGTAAGCACGTGCTACAGCTTCTATTTCTATTTCTTAGTTGATATGGTGACTTTAGCCTGGTTGGCTCTCTTCTCCGACTGGCGCCGCCTGGTGTTTAATTTCTATTCTATTCGTTCTCCCCCTGGTTCATATGGAGATATGGTGTTTAATTTAATTGAAGCGGCCTGTGCAGTTCATGTAAAGTTCCAGCGCCGCCATGTGTTGACGTGGGGTGTCGGTTTGAGGCCAGTAGATTGGCATGAGCGAACGGACGATTGCGAAATTCGTACTGCGGGCAGTGTAGCCAGTAGTGGAGTGTAGTGTCCGGTGCCCCGCTGCCTACAGCTTCATATAAAATATCTACTTATGTAAGCCATTGTTTCCACTGTTTGTATATCTGTCATGGAATGTCTAGATCGCGCATTAGGGGCGTCCCTAGCGATGATTTTCAGCTATTATTGACAAGACTATGTCTTGATTATAAAATCGTACTGTCGTTTTATGTTACCAGCATAGAGGTATGAAGGAGTACATGTCGAGAGTTGATATTTGGCACAGAGTATTAGGAGCCCAAATCATTTGCGCATAAAAAAATCCAGACTCGTAGGTAGTCGGGGGACCGAGAATCGAGCCAAAATAAAATACAAAATAACCCTCTTCTACAAACAGGCAAAACATCCACCTCACCCCACCGAAGTCAGGTAGGGGAGAGTACCACCCACAGTCATTCTAAGAAGTGAACTCTGACCTTAGGGCCGAACATGTAGTTTCTTCTATGTTAAATAAAACTTGTAATCTAATTTTGTAAATTTGGGAGTGTAAATATGACGTTAAAACGGTTTTATGTCGTTACAAGTGGGTTTTTGTTAACATTATCTAGTATAGTAAAATCGTAGGACCGATAAAAATTAGACGTTATATTAGGGTTGTCGTTACATTCGATGACGTTATAACCGGGTTAAACTGTATATTGTTTGTGCAAAATAAAAAATAATTTCGGACGATACAATAGCCACGATTATTTTTTCAAAAACGGAAACTTTTCGTTACGCATCGACAAAACTTCAACCCGGGCCGACACACAACGGAGAGAAATTTTGAAATTAGATAGGCCTGAGTTAATTTCATCGAAGATGCATCGTGGACGATCTCGTTGTCGTGGCCGGCAAAGTTTGAACGATCGCGCCCAAAAGCAGCGATATCAAAGAAGATAGGAAATGAGAACAAGATTTGCCTTGAGCTTCAAAATGATTTCGTCTCCGAGACATAGTCTTGTCCCATATACGGTTTTGCTGTTTTACCTGTTTAAATTAATAGTGTAATTTATTTATTTAACGACAATAAGTTGTTTTATAAAGATTTATTCTGCCAAACTTAGCGAAAATCTGACATAAAGTATTTGGTAAGTAATTATTATTATATGCTTTAACTTGTAACTCTGTTTTATAAATTTTATAAAGTTACTTCCCTACTTTATAAATCACCGTTACTTTGGAACCGGTGGGCGGTTAGAAAATTTTACTACTAACAGAGATACAAAAGTGGGCAGTAGGTATAAAAAGGTTGACTACGCCTGTTTTAAACAATAATAATAGATGGTTCAATGGCCGAACGGCTTAGACGGAAGCCTACCGCTTCGGAAAACCCATCATCGAATTTAGACAGTTCGAAAAACCCATCAAAAGCAGGGATATGGCCCGGTCGAATCCATAATGGACCCATAGAATGAAATTAAAAAATAATAATAATTTATATTATTCATTTCAAAATTATAAACAATTGGCATTTCTACGCAGAGTTTGCCATATTTATTATAAAAAAGTATTTAATATTTTATGTAGTGCTAGTTAAATTTTATTTTAATTATGTAGTAACATGTTTTAAATTAATTTTAACAGTCTTAATCGCGTTTGAAATCGAAAAGCAATTTCTTTCATTATTGCTACTTTTTTAAAAACTCTTTTCGTAAGCCTATTATGGGTTCGGCCAGGCCCACAGCGGGGTGGCCGGGTGTTGAGAGACAGGGTTCGGAATATCAGGACGAATCACCTCCCGAAAATCCCTGGAAATTTATCGATCCGTCCGGATTCGAACCCGGGTCTCCCAGAACGGTATTGCTGCCATCCGGCCATCTCAATATTGCTACTTATAAGTAATTGTAAAATGTTCTTTATTAACTGAATAATCTTGGTAGATTGCTTCGAAAATACTCCTCATAATTTTCTATAAATAAATTATTCGAGTCAATGAGCATTTTATAATAAACACAATAGAAATAAAATAAAGAGTGTTTGTTTGTTTAGTTATGGCAACGCAACACTTGGGGCGATCTGCCTAGGGAGTGCCTTCCGGGAGGTCTTTTTTAAGGGAAACTGACCCCTATTTAGGCGTTACAGACGTGGATAAAACACGGAAAACCCGCCCGAGCGAGGCGCCTACCCACGACCGAACTCCCAGTGTTCATGGAACGAAGACCGCTTAGCCACTGGTGGGCAAATAAAGAGTGATTCCATAAGAATTGAATAATTCCAAAAAGTATATTCACATATAGAACATGAATCTTATGTGTCACAATCGAATAAGAAAAGGATTTGCCAATAATTAATTTTTTTTTAGCTGTTCCATGCACACAAGTCTTTAGTCTCTCTTTACTTCTTTTTTCATTGAGGAAAACACTGATAGGAATCGTTTATCTGGATATGCTGATGGAATGGCTTTTCTCATAGCAACTTTTTCCAGCAGTTTTATGCTCTGTTTCACTTTCATTCATATCAAGATGTTCTTCAATAAGCATCTCTTAGGACACTGGATAAGGAATTAACCTGTTTCAAAAGCAGACTCAAAATAATTGACAAGCTTTTGAAACAGTCGCACGATCTCCAGATTGGACGGCCCAAT